TTAGCGTAGGTCAAGAGACTATTTTGGTTTCTTTGATTTTCATTTTCTAATTTATAATCTTATCTTTACAATTTAAAATAAATTAATCAAATTATGTATGTAATTAATTTGAGTCAATTTTTTTTTGTTGATAATTTTTAATTATAGTATCTTTTATTTGAATTTATTATAGTAATTAAATCAATTTACTATCTCAATTAAAAAAAATTAAATAAATAAATTCATTCTAAATTATTGTTAATTAGCATTTAAAACTAGTATTTAATTTTTAAATTTGAAGATGTTTCTAAATTAAAATACAATTTAAAATATATATATATATATAAAATTTTGTTAGTTTAAAAAATAATAAATTTATTGAGTAGAATCTTTCAATTTTAATTACGATTTTATATTTTACTATCGTAATTTCTATCCTATCAAATGAGTTGAATAATAAAAGAAATATCGAAATTACTGATTAAAATATTAAATATTAACGAAAACATAAAGTTACTAATCAAAATATTGAATATTAACGAAACATGAAGTTACTGATCAAAATTTTAAATATTAACGGAAACATAAAATTACTGATCAAAATTTTAAATATTAATCAAAACATGAAGTTATTGATCAAAATTTTGAATATTAACTAAAATATTAAATTATTAATCAAAATATTAAATATTAACATAATAAATTTAATTAATTATTCACTCAATTATTCATTCAATTAATATCAAATCAGTACCTATACAAAAGCAAGAATATCATATTAATTAATATTTATGAATAGTAAAAAATTAAAATTTCTATGCAAACTTTACAATTTTCAAGTCTTGAAATTAGACTATTGTCATTTTCTAGAAAGTCATCTAACAAGGTTCCTTTTGAAAGAACCCGATTGATAGACCAATTGATTTGGGATTGAAATTTGTGTCAAGTTTGATAAACCAATTGATTTCAAGAGATCCAGTATCAAGTCATCTATCTTTGAGAGCTGTCATATAGGGAAGGAAAACAAGGTTCCTTTTGCAAGAACCCGATTGATAGACTAATTGATTTGGGATTGGAATTTGTGTCAAGCTTGATAAACTGAATTTTTTTCAGTAATGTTGAAACAATTTTTCAATAATGTCACTGCTTGAAACGAAATTCCTTAAATGTCACACACAGAGCACTTCACGCCATTTCAAATAGCGCAAAGGTGAGACTCAGTTGACAGTATAAGGACTCTCGCCATTTGATATGGCGTGAAAGGATAATTTTTTTAAAATTTTTTTCTGAATTTTCTTTATTTATATTAATTATTTTTATTATTTAATTTTATTATTAATTATAAATAATTTAATAAACTATTTAATTATAAAATTAATTAATAAAATATTAATTTAAAAACTTAAATAATTATAAATTAATAATTACAATTAAATAATAAAAATTATTATTAAGTAATAAAATTTAACAATTACAATCAAATTACTAAATAAAAAAAATATAGTTAAAAGTAGTTATAAATAACAATACATGGATAAAGTTAGTTAGAAGGACCTGCATTGTTGAGGCGATGCGGATATTTTTTGCGCATATGTGGTTGTTGACAGATTCCGCATCGTCTTTTTATTTTCTCAACAGTGTCCATTCCAGTTCTAATGTGAGTACTGTTCGGGCGACCTTTTTTTGTTTCGTCGCATCCTTTCATCATGCAAAAGAGTATCGCCTAAATATGGAGGCCAGCTATCTTCTTGGGGGAACACCGATGAAACTTTATATGTAAACTTTGAAGACGTTTATAACTCTATACAAATCAGGAATAAACTTAGTGTAGTCGTAGTTAATGTGAGAACAAGCCGCGATAGCATGTGAGCAAGGTAGATGAAAAGTTTAAAATTTCCCACAGTCACAAGTTCGTGTTTGGAGGTTGACCTTGAAATGAGTAAGTGGCCGATAATTCCTATTATTAACCGTCTCTTAGACCACGAAATAATGACTTTCACGGTCAAAAGCCAAGACATTATAACTGTGATATTTTTCTACTTCTTCTGCAATTCCTTTCATGCAGTTATTTGTGAATTCCTTTCCTGATGACAATTTTTTGTCCAATCCTTTCCTCGCTTCCCCCACAATGTACCCATCTTGTAGTATGTTGATCTTACAAGTGATGTAATAGGTAGGTTGCGAGTTTCTTTCAACACTGAGTTCAAATATTCAGCAAGGTTGGTTGTCATGTGACCGCATCGTGCTCCTCCATCGTAAGCTCGCGACTATTTGTCTCTTGGAAGGTTCTCTATCCAATTGAAAGTCTCTGTGTTTGTTTGGCGGATCTCCTCCCGATAGTATGCGTATGTAGACTCATGAAGTGCATACCCTGCGTATAAGCATTAAAAACATTACTATAAAAGAACTATATATTTAAATGTCATGTTAAAAATTAGAGAATAAATTACCCATATGTTAACAACTGTCTTGCGAAGGTTTTTTTCCTTGACGGCTCGCATGAAGTTTTGTGCGATGTGCCTAATGCAATACACATGCACTGAGGGTGGATTCTGCCAGCTATTATCTAGGTTATTGTAGGCACTCTTAATGGACTAATGTCGATCAGATATCAATCATAAGTCTGACTGGGGTGTGACATGGAGTCTCAAATTTTTCAGAAAGAAACTCCAAGCCCCCTGGTCTCACCTTCGACCAATGCATATGCGATTGGGAAAATGTTATCATTCTCATCTTGTGCAACAGCCAGAAGCAATGTTTCCCTATATTTTTCATACAACCATGTACCATCTACTTGCACTATAGGTTTGCAATGTGTGAAACCCCTAATACAAGGTTGAAAGGCCCAAAAAAGGCGATGGAAAATTCTTGGGCCACCAATCTGTGTTCCTTCATTTGAATATCCAGGAAGTGTTTCAAGATCTGACGGTACCTGGGAGAAATTATTGTATGACTAGAAACCACTGTGGAAGGTTGTTGTAAGAGGCCTCCCAATTATCATAAATATCTTCGATTGCTTTGTTTTTTATAATCCATGCCTTTTTGTAAGGTACGGTGTAGCCATAAATCATACGAATATGAGCAATAATATGCCTAACCTTGTTTGTCGCGTCACTGTCGAGGTCTGATGTTATGGGCGATCATCTTTGAGGTAAGCTTTTAGTGATCTTGAGATATAGCAGTCGACATGCAAGTGTGTGGCCCTCCAATAATACCAATGACCCATTGACCACATCCATCCCTTAACGAAGCTCTACATGTGAAGTTGCATCCCTCCTTTTTACATTTAATCAAATATCTGTCTGATCAAACTTACAAACCTTAAAAGTATAAGAATTTTTATGTGATACTCAGATATTGCATGGAGACATGCTTCTTTGTTTTCAAACGTCATACCAACCTTTAAGTCTTCACGTGACTCACCTTCATTTAAGGGTTCAAAGACTGAAATTGGTTCCACACACTCAAATGTAACATTTCTTAAATGGTATGGTGGGTTGTATAGATCAAGTATAGGAGTCGGGTTTGCCTCCTGTCTGTCATCGTCACCTGACTTGCCACTGGACCCACTAAACAAATTACTTCGTCTGGCATCGTCAGAGTCAGTATCATCACTCACTTCCTCTTTCGGAAATAATGGCTCGTTATGTTGTGCTTGGACAAACTCTTCTTGTAGCGAGGCATAACTTTGTTGATACGCATGAGATTGTGATGATTGTGTTGGATATACTTCTTGCACCTATTGAAAACAAATATACAACTTTATTCTTTGTTGACTGCAAAACCTTGAGTGACATTGAAGCATTGAACGGACATCTTCATCGTCTTCGATTTTTGCAGTGTTGTATGTGACATTGTGATCAGTTAGATTAACTATTGGAAATCGATAAAAAATAGAAGTTACATGTTGTTGTAAAGTTTCTTCTATTTTTTTCGTCAAGTGGGCTAAATCACTTTTTCGATGAATATTTAAAATCTGTGTATCTGTATTTTGAAAGACCGCTCCAATATTATCATCGGTAAAAATATTACCATTGAAATGTAAGAGACAAGAAATATGATTTTGTGACATTGTTTGAAGTAATATTCAAAGTGATATTCAATTGTTTGAAGTAATACAAGACACAACTGCATTGGTATTAATAAACAAAGCAATATTCAATTTTAAATTCACGCATGTTATCGCCATCTTAAATGACGTGAACCTTCTCAGCATAGACTCTCGCCAACTCAAATGGCGTGAACCATATACTCTCGCCAACTCAAATAGCGTGAATCTGCTCATACGCGCCTTCTCAAATGGCGTGAAGCTTTGGCACGTGCCATGTATATAAATGCAATAGAAAACGATTTTGTTTTCACATTAAAATGACTCTGATGTTTTGCTCAGTATACATTATTCTGTATAATTCACAAATTGCTATGTTTGATTATAGAAACACATTTTCTAATCCTTTAGTTGTACGACTTATGGAAAGACCTAAACTCATTCACTTGAAAAATCAATTACGTCAAATCACATATATTAATAGGAGCATTACAAAGATATCTTTCAACCGGGCTACCATCAACGAAAATGGAGTGTTGATACAACATATTACAAAGTTAGTTACAGATACAGATGTATTTAACATGTTTGAGGATTTTCGAATTGGTGTTAATAAAACACCGTTTGAGTTGTATGATAGATTCAGTAGACCAGTCGATGAAGTTTTATAGTTGTGTATAAAACCGTGTAATTTATAATATTCTCAATAAATATATAAATTTATATTTATTCAACTTTTATTAAATTATCCAACTACCTACCAACTCTAATTAAATTACTCTACTACCTACCAACCATATTTAATTAAATTATTCAACTACCAACCAACTATCACCACTCTCAAATTTTTCCTATAAATACTCAATCACTCTCACCTCATTTTTGTACAAACACATTTCATTCTATTGACTACACAATTATGACAAATATGTTTTGGTATGGTACACAACATAGAAGAACAGTAGAAAATATAATGCTGTAAGTATTTTTTTATTCTTTCAGTATTATTAATATTATTTAATTTTGAGTTTACAATATTAGTTTTGTTCATAAAAATTTGTTGCATAGAAATGTTAGATATTTTTCTATATTATTTATTTTTATTATAGATGGATGATATTTATATTTCAAAATAGAGAATGCGTGCTCAATAGAATCCACACACATCGATTCAAGGGAATCCACACACATCGATTCAAGGGAAGTCCTCTGTGTAACATTCAGAGAATTTCAGGTCATGGCATTGATGGAAAATTCTTTCAACAATGTGACATTGCTGGAAAAAGTTTTGATAAACCAATTGATTTCAAGAGATCAAGTATCTTTATAATAATTTCAAATGAATAGTTTTGATTTTTAAATGTCAATCTTTTCATTTTTACACATATCAAAAAAAGTTAATCATCATGGTTACTTTTTAAACAATAATTTTCACCTCTAATACCCTTAATTATTTGTCATATACATTTAACTTTTTCTTTCTCTACAATAAATGACTAAGGTTAATTTTGACAAAATACAATTAATAAGAAATAAAAAATTATTCTAAAAGTGACACTTAAAAAGAAAGAAAAAAGCCGTTTGGATTTTGATTTCGTGCGAACTCCGAGATTCCTTTCAATACGTATTTCTATATATTTTCGTTATCATCGGCAAATTTTCATCATTGTAAATTCCTTAAGTTGTTGCCCCTACGTGTACTTAGTATGTGCCAAATACTATCGAATCAGTAAAAAGTATGAATAATAATCATATAAAGCCAAACACATGCAAGAAATAAGTATGTTCATTTATCCAAATTGTAATATCAATTGGTTTATATCAAACAAATAACAGTCATTACATGAAGAGATTACAAATTTGAAAGAGGCGTAGCTAAAAGCATTTTGAATAACAAGCATCAATGTCCATAAAAAACCATCTACACTCACTTTATCAACAATCGAGCATCTACAACAAAAAACACAAGTACCATGTGTCGATAGGAAAGATCATTTTCAAATGTACTCTCTAGTTGGCACTGGGAATCGACTTTCTAATCATTCTAGATGTTCCCAAGAATTTATCCTTAGTGTTGCTTTTGCTCGTAACTGTCTTCAAACCCTGAGTTCTTCAGTGCTTTTAACTTTCTGTATCCTACATCACTTCCAAATATCCTAATACATTGCAAAGAAAGAAGTCATGTACCCTTGACAGTATAGAAAACTAGTTAAGCATCCATATTCCAAGGCAACTAAATGTCTGCTTAGTTAAGCCATCATAAAAAATGGAGTAAATTTAGTTCCTTAATGTGCGAGGCGGTGTCTCTAGTCACGGAGTATATTGAAAATTTGAAATCACAAAAACACCCATCCCTACATGTATTTTCTGTTAGTAACTTCATGGATTAGACTAACCAACAGAAGAATATTGGACAATCAAACTAACTAACTAACTAACAGAAGACACATTTGAAGACCAAACTCACTAAGACACGTTTGAGGATGCTTTTGTAATTTTCAAGCATTCAAAAACTAAGTGACAGCATTTGATACATTCAAAGACTAAAATAACTGTTACCTCTAAAGGATGATATGTTAGATACTTACCGGTCCATGTAAGTGAAAGTTGATGAATAGTTTCCGGACTTGGTGTACAACAAGCGGTGATGATAATCATGAAAATCAGCTCTGAAAAGTAGGGATACAAAGTTTAATATCAAGAACTACAACAGCAGAACGAACCAACAAGCCGATATTAAGTGAAGGTGGAGGAACTTCACACTCACCCCCCATATAATGGAATGAAGTTTGAGAGACTCCATGGAAAATGGTAACCGCAATGTGCCTCAACCGTCTCTAGGACTCTTAGAACCATCCATAACCATAAAGTAATCAAGTGAGGTCCAGTGATGGCAGGACCAACAATGGTTGCAAACCCAAGGAAAAGTATTTCAGCTGGATGAGCATATTCCGAAGTAAGTCCAAACGGAGTTGCATACCTTCACAATACAGCAAAACCCCTTTAGTAGTTCATAGATGATCAATATAACAAGCCAAAACTGCAGAGCACTCGTAACACTCACTCGTGATGTACACTGTGGACATGTTTGTATAGCCATTTTGTGTGCAATATCCTGTGTCCCCAGTAAAATATGAAGTCCTCCAAAATGAAGTAAAATATTATTTGAGTTAGAATTACATTCCTGCAAAACCAAATTTCATCTTGTTGAGTAATCTTTAACAAAAACACATTCCAAATATAAAAAGGAAAACCATCTATCAGGGGACTTAAAAGAAGATGAAAGTACCAGGACGGTAGGGGAAGACTACTCCGCATGCCCATGTATTTGAAAACGGGATACGAAAAAATCATAACAGGTAGATTGACACCAAAATGATATATCAACAGGCGAACAATACATTTATCCTGAGCTGCAGGGGTATTATTTTTCGCCTACGTGAAAGGAAGCATTAGCAACACCAGCAGATTTACATATAGATTGCAAGAAGAATGTCAATAATATCCATACAGTGGAATTAACAAGAGTTTTGATTGCATGCCAAGACCAGGGAAAAAAAACTTTTGCTTTCTCTTTGGAAGAGGACAACCATGTATTTCCAAGTGAAAGTGGAAAACAATTGTAATTTTATGCCGGTATTGGGGGATTCAGTTAATATGTTAATCAAATATAGCATGCACCAGCCTCAATAAGAAGAAAAAAAATTAACACCCACAATTAGTTATTCAAGTTAAATCGTAGCAACATGCATTGTGATGCAGTGTTGAGGATTTGTTGCAACTACAGTATTGCAGCCACTCCATGTGCTGTGTGATTTGCAAATTAAAATGTCTGCTACCTACATTTGGAGAGAAACATTGAGTTGTAGGCCACCTAAAAGGTTGAGAATCAACACCGAAAGGTATTTTTATAACACCCATATATCTTCACCTATGTTATGTAATGCATACAAATAAGAAAGATGAAATTGACAAGGGAAATCACAAGGAACTTTCAGTTGAAAAGTGAATAACTGAAATAATTTACAATACATTTGGTATGGAACATGCATATTATGTCAAAGCGAACACTTTTGGAATGGTCAAGTTATGAATGATGTACTTCACATTACACAACAAGAGATAAAATTCATATCATGGAGAACAAAAGGAGAAAAATATAGAAAGATAAAAAACGAATTTCATCCACCGAATACCTGAATCTTGTACTTGCTCAACCAACCTGCCCTCTCAATCCATACAAAAGGAAGTCCAGATAAGAAGAAAACACTTTCATGCAGAAAGAAACTTCCCAAACATGCCAGTTGAAAGTCGCTGAAATTTGTGATCAAGTACTACAACACGAATAAATAAATAATAAAAGGATTACAGAGAATTCCATTTCTCAAATTAGTTAAAAGCAGCAAACAAACATCCATCAATCCAGTTTTCACAAAAATAGTACAAGTATTAACATGCAATTAACTACACAAAACTAACAAGAATCTGAAAACCAAATGAGTCAGGCAACAAAAGAGAAATCCCAAGATTTGATTTTGAAAAACTATCATCACTAACGGTGATCTACAGAGTACAAGAACCCAACATTTCACACAGCATCATCAAAACACTCATTGGAAAACACAATGCATAGTTCCAGTCATCAAATCAAATCCTAATATTCCAATAACAAAAACTCTCATCAAGATTACCAAAGAAAAAAAAAACAATAATTTTTTGAATCTCACAATAAACCACTAAGCCCTAAAATCCAAAACATAAAAAAAAGAAAACACGGAGATAGAAAAAATATAATAAATTTGTGAGAAAAATAAAAAAGTTAGTGATTGTAGAAAGGTGAGAGAAATGAAGGAGAGAGAGAGAGAGAGAGAACCTTCCAGCAAGATTCGAAGATGGAAGAAGCCATGAGAGCGAGATTTGAGAATGAGGGAGTGAGTGATGAAGTGGGGAGGAGGGAGAACCAAAGGCGTAGCCTAGGCGGCAGGCAGCACCATCCAATACCGAACAAGGCAAGACAGACTGTATTAATCTCTTAATCACATCACATGTTTATTTACTAATATTAGTGTTATTCCTTTTAGGATTTTCTTTACTTTTTTTTATAAACTTTATTCAATAATCGATTTTCATTTTTCAAATAAAATGTCATAATTTATTTTGTCTTTCTCAATTTTTATATATATTTAGAAAAGAAGATAATTAGATATCAGAAAATTAAATTAAATTAAAGTATGAGAGAAAAAGAAAATGTATTAATAAAATAGTCTAAATGTCTAAATAAAAGAAAAGCATAAATGTCTTTACTAAAAACTAAATAAATTAAAATATAAAAAATTTAAATTTCTTCACTTTCAACTAAAATTTACAAATTATAAGAAGAAAAATATTGAATAGGTAAGAAAAGTGTAACATAAATAAGAAGAAATACTTAAAATTAAGAGTATAAATTATCTATCTATATATTATTTTTAAGAGAAAGATTGTCTCCGTTTATAATCTTATAAATATATGTTTATATTACATAATTTGATGTTAGATTTTTAAGAGAGTACCTCACGTTGATACTATTTGATTTAAGATACGTAAAAAAAAAAATGATTAATTGATAGTCGATAACTAAAATATAAATATTTAAAAATCTTGAATCAAACTCTAATATTATTTTAAAATTATGATTTAATCGAATTTATTTTTATAAAATTATTTAATACTATTTAGTAAAATGAGAAGTTTTTTCAAATCATATATTATTTAAAATAAGATACTTTAACTAAAGATTAAAAATTATTATTTTATTCTTCTTAAAGAATTAAGTTAGGTCTCACCAAGGACTAAAATGAACTTTTACTTGAAAAAAATATGAACAACTTTTATTTATTTATTTTTTTAAATTACATGCATGTATTAAAGTTTAGCAGATTTTAGTGTTCCTATGTACTACTAGAGTTGATAAAATAGGCCGAATTAATTGGACTGACTTGAAAGTTCTTTAAAATTATTGGGTTTAAAAAAGAAAATTAAAGATTATATATTATTTGATTTTTTAAATCCGACTAATTAAACATTATATTTAATCCGATTAGTTCGATCAGATTGTAGGTAGTCCGCTTATTTAATTTAATTTTTTTATAAAAATTATAATATATTATATTACTAATATCCATGTTATTCTTTAATAAAAATATAAATGTTTATTTTATAATATCCTATAATTGCTATTTTAATAAAAACTATAATATTATATTACTAATATTCATTTTATATTATATTATTATTGTTTCCACTTAAATTTTGGTTATTTTATTAAAATAATTAATTTCAAAGATATTTTATCTTAGATCTGTAAT